TGGCCGCCCCCCCAGCCGATCCGGATCCGCCCCTTCTGGGACAGCTCCCTCGCCGCTATGAGGGGCAGGCGCATCCAGAGGCTGGACCTCCCTCCGGCGGCCGCCTGCAGCGCTCCGCACTGCAGCTCTGCGACGTCGCACCGTCCAGCCTCAGACACCCACCTCTTTACCTCTTCGACGCCCATGGAGTCGTCGAGGTCGCGCAGGCGGATCTCGGCCATCCTTCTCGGCCTGTCCACCCGCGTCCCGTCCTCCGCGGAGAGGACTCCCCTGACGCGTTCCGCGAGAAGGTCAGCCTTCTCGGCGTGACCCTCCCCGGACACCTCGATGACCCTGGCACCGGTGGCACCCGATCTTACGTTGACCGGGCCCCCGATGCCAAGGTCTTCCAATTTGATCTCCCGCCGCAGTCTGACCATGGTCTCGTGATAGTCCCCATTGGGACACATAACGACCACGGCCGACGTGCGGGGGAGCCTGCGCTTGGGGGTCTTTCTAGCCGGACCCCCAGTCTGCCCCTTTGCCGGGGCACCAGAAGCGGCCGCCCTGGGAACTCCTTTCGCGGACTTCCCTGCAACCCCGCTCTTCCTCCCAACCGCTGCTGCGTATGACACAGCCCCCGCAGCGGGTTGGGAGGAGGTATTAATACACCTAGACACCGAAAACTACGGAGCGCACTACCTGGACGTCGTCATCGGCGACCTGGGATACGTGTTAATACACCTAGACACCGACAACTACGGTATTAATACACCTAGACTTATTCAAACTTGGCGCGAGACGCTACGTGAGATACGCGACAGCAGCGCCAATGCCACGTTGCGGCAGAAAAGTGAGATGGATTTTGGTCTGGTTGATAACGACGACCACGACGACCACGATGACGACGTTTCTGAAAAAATTACGTGAAAATTCAGAAAAATTCAGACTCCTGGGCTTTGCATTGCAATATCTCTACTCATGGAGCACGTAGGAAAAAAGTAAAAATAGTTTTATTATGCAAATCGTACCCAAGCTGTCGATTAAGCGCAGTCTCAAGTTCGTGCGATCAACCGTTGTTGAGATAAAAAAATCTGAGGGCCCGTCAAGTCGTGTACTCGCGTAAACTTACACGGTCGGTCTCGCGCGCGTGTACTAGCTTCGCTTACACTTGGCGCGAGACACTATCGTGTCTCGTGATAAAACCGGCTTCACGAAGCTCCTCGATGATAGACAGCATCTCGTTGTCAGGCGCGTTGTGACCAGCTCGGTTCGAAGCTTCGAGCAATCGTAAGCGATCGACTAAATCATTGGGATCGTCCCAATGCACGTAATCGATCGCATTGTCGTTTAACGTCATAGTGCTAGGTAATCCTTTTCCAGATTTCATTCTAGACCGCGTCTGTACTCCTTCGTTCGGCAGTAACGGCGCGATTACATGTTTGTACTTGTATCCTCTGGTACCCAATATCTGACCATGCGCGCTATAATTGCGTCCATACGCATTTGTCGCCAGCAGTATGCTCCTGTACTTTTGCAGATCGTCTTCCGTGTATACTTCATCATCTGGAATTCTCTTGGAAATTAGTTCGTAGAGACCGAGTGTGCCTTTGTATCGCACGCCATCGACAAGTATGTTATCTTCGATGTCCACTTCGAAGTGTTTATCACCAAGCAACAGTTTTTCCTTGCCAACATGAGAACACCGTACACGAAATCTATATCATTCTTTACACCACTCTTTTGGGAAGATGATCCGCGTAAGACAGCCTCGATATATTTTTTACTCAGCTGACCCAGGTGCTGCAATACTTTTTCACCCGTTTCCGTTTGTATCTCGCGTTCAGCGAATATAGCGAGCGGTTCGCCCGTGTTTTCGAAAACATCTTCGAGTTCGAAAGGTTTGTCGATCGGTGTCGCCGCCGCCGCCGCCGCCGCCTCCATCGTTGCTGGATGTATAGCACGTGGCGTAGATGTTATCAACGGTGCTCCCGGTGTAGACAATGCACCGTATAATTTATACTGTTTTGATTCGAAGGAATCAGTTAACGAACTATTCACTGGTTTTCTATCCTTTGTCTTTCTCCGTATAGGATCCTTCTCATGCTTGTAGTCGTATGTCGGTTCAATCGCTTCCACATCATCCGGTTCGTCTTTAATCGTACGCACCCCGCTGGAGTTGTCAACGATTTTTTGCAACGGCTCATTGATTGGCTTAAAATGAGTCCTCACAGCAATATCGTCCTCGATGTTACTGGTCTTCAAAGCGCGATATTTCTTGCGAATTGATTCACTCGTTTTTTTAATCTCTCTAGCAATCTTTTCACACTTGTTAATATCATCGCTCCTAGCCATGCTGACCGCTCGCTTTTTACCTCAACGGAATACAGGCAACGACTAACCGTTTTGCGGTATAGCAAACACGTTAAATCCCTTTCTGTATCGCCCGTTTGTAAGCGCGCTGTCCTCGTCTATCACTACGAACCCGTATTTGTCTCGTCAACAACTGCTACACAATGCGCAGAAATCATCGTATGACATGTCGGTATTCACATGATCGTTGTAAACGTGTTTCAAATTGGTACCATCCTGTTTGAACAGGATTAGCAGGTTCGCGTTGTCACGTATAAGATGTTTTGGTATTCTCGCATACGTCTGACAGAGATAAAAACTCGACGTTCGAGTGATGCCCCATTGAAAAGTACTCTCTCACTGTATCCTGCTTATCGCATACCACGTCATCAAAGATAAAAATTGAATTTGAACGCGCCTCACTCGGTGGAATGACGTCACTGTTATTAGAGAATGTAAAGTAATCGATTTCATCGATAGACGTCAACAGCTTCTCCAAGTACTGATATTTCGGTTGTTGCAACGACTTCGAGTATACGTACACATTCTCGAAACATACACCGTGTGGACTTTCCAGTAAGCTTATCAAAACGTTGGTTTTACCACAATTCGAGGGGCCGCAAATGATTGCGCGTATAGTATTCGGCAGCATTGTACCATGCTTGCGTTTCTCAGCGTTATATCCTCCCATCGACCGTAATCTGTCGTCATAATTCATAACGCGTATCGTTAATGGCTGTCGCACGAATCGCATATTGCTCTTTCCTCAGAGAGAACTATGTAAAAATCGAGAGAGAGCGGGCCTATTTATAGAGGAGCGTAAAGCTGAGATCCTCAGTAGCAAAGATGTTCGTACTGCTGTCAAATCCTTCCGATATCTTTGATTTAACCGCCGAGCAGTTACAGTTTGTACCCAAAGTCGTTCTGTTACAAGTGTATGGTAATTACGTCGAGTATCTGTGGGATAAGCTTCCAGAACATATAAAGGTGGATTCGGAGGTTCAAACTATCGACGCTGTTGCGCACATTACAATCAACCGTAGCAGCGGACGCACATCGACGGTCCTGTACCGCTGATTAAGAATTGCCACCAATGCCAGCTATCGCAACAGCGGTACAAAGTGGCAGTGGTCTGTTAAATTATACGATAAACGCGCTTCCTTTTGAGCTACATATCCCAGGCTATCAGTTTTGTGGCCCGGGCACTCGTCTGGAAGAACGATTGGCGAGGGGCGAACGAGGTATAAATCCATTGGACGCGGCGTGCCGCGATCACGACATTGCGTACTCGCGTAGCAAGGATCTCGCTGAGAGACACGTGGCGGACAAGATACTCGCCGAGAGAGCACGGAAACGCATTACCGCCAGAGATTCGACTCTTGGAGAGAAAGCTGCTGCTACAGCTGTTTGGACGACTATGAAAGCCAAGACAAAGATCGGTATGGGTTTGAAAACGAAGAAGAAGAAGAGAGTGGCGAAGAAGCGAATACTTCCGGTATCGAAACGCGGTTGTGTATTACCGCTTCTACCAATATTAGGTGTACTCGGATCCATGATCGGTGGAGCGGCTAGCGTGGCGAAGGTGGTGAGCGACAACAAAGCTGTACAACGTCAACTCGAGGAGCAGCAACGTCACAATCGCGCGATGGAAGGTCGCGGTGTACATCTCGCTCCATACAAACGTGGACGGGGTGTAACGAAACAAGGAAGGAAAAAAACGTCGAAAAAGCATTAAAAATGCCTACGGGTGTAACAACGAATATACAATTGGACCAACTGGCAAGACGAATGCGTATACGACACTTTAGAGGTGTCTTCATGCGAAACATGTTACCAATTAGCGGTATACGTCGAAATGAGAGCGGTATCGTGAATCTGGATGACGCGGCAGGTCCCGGTACTCACTAGGTAGCGTACGCAAAGAGGGGAAACCACGTAGTGTATTTCGACAGTTTTGGTAATCTCCGACCGCCTAAAGAACTGGTGCAGTATTTCGGAGACGGGGTGAAAACGATAGAGTACAATCGAACGATTTATCAGACCTACGATCAAACTATCTGGGGACAGCTGTGTCTACGGTTTCTCCAAACGGTTGACGACAGATTCGCACAGATTTAAAGTCTGGTGAGACGTCGCGAAGACTCAGGTATTCGTTGGATAGTTTTCTCGCCATGTCATTGACACTCACGCTAACGGGAAAGAGCACCGTGCTCGCGGTAAACTACTTCCCAGCGATAGATTTGAGTGACGGTGACTACGAGCTCGGTTTTATGAATTTTGAAACTTTTAACACGATATCGAACGTGAATTCTTCGAATAATAAATTTTACTTTGACGAAGACGATACGGAAATTACAATTCCCGAAGGATCCTACGAACTGCAAGCGATAAATGAGTTTTTGAGAAATGCAATTTCACGAAAACGTCCACGCCAACGTCTCATGGCTGGTACTAATAACAGTGATAAAAAACGCGGTGATGTTCAGATAAACGATATCGACGAAAATGAAAAATATCCGATAGTGCTGCGCGCTAATCACAATACGATGAAGAGTGAAATTATAAGCGCCTTTAGAATGAACTTTAACAAGCCTAACAGCATTGGATCGCTTCTGGGATTCTCATCGACGCGTATATTGCAACCGCGAAAATGGCACGAATCGGACCTACCGATTAACATTATCAACGTGAATATTATCCGCGTAGAGTGCAATGTGACCGCGGGTGCGTACAGCAACAACAAGCCCGTGCACACGATACACGAGTTTTCGCCGAGCGTGCCGCCGGGATATAAGATGTCGATAGCGCCATCGCAAATCATTTATCTGCCGATCATCACACGGAGTATTACGGATCTAACCATACGCGTTGTCGACCAGAACGGACGATTGCTCGACTTTCGTGGAGAAGAGATTACCGTTAGATTGCACGTATCAACGATATCAACGTTTGATCGCAGTATCAAGTCATCCAGGAGTTGCAAGAAGAAAAAGCTCAATACATCAAACGTGGAATTTTTAAAATCATTGGGATTCGCGGTGCGAAACATTTGAATAATGACTGACATCCTCAGCATCGGGAAGGAGCCAATCTTTGACGATCGCATCGTCAAGATTGAGACTCACACATACAATCCATTCGCCAACACAACATTTGGATACAGCGATGAGATACGAATACCTATACAACAACAGGATCTCTATACGTTG